TATACAGGACCTAACACCGTTAAATTTCGGGCTAAACAGGCCTTCTCTAAGGGCTTTGGCCAACTTAACATCTCTAGTTACTCTTTTTGTTTATTGGTTTTTATCGCAGGGAAATAATGAATGTCTACAACAAAAATGTGGTTGGAGATATGGAATTAACCAAAAAAAAAAAAGTATTTGTTTATTTAGCACTTCATATCCAAATAGGAAAGCAAGAGTGTCACTTATTTGCAAATAGTGAACGAAGGAAGTAAATGAAAGGTTTACATCACATATGACACATATAAATATCCATCAGAATAGCACATGTTGAACATAAAATTCAACATTCCTATTTGCTAAACCATGTAGGGAGTCAGAAAATTACTTCGATTCCATCAGTTATCAAATTCTCAGTTTATTTGTATACAACGCTAGATCAAATTCAATATCAACAGAAAAGGGAAACTATGAAAAGAAATAAAAAAATCCATATGAGCATATGACCTTCTACAAAAATGAATATTAAGAGCAAATCATAGTGTTATCATAGTCATAGATCTATCTACCAAGATTTGTCATCTCAATCTCTCATCAAAGAAACTATTGAAAAAATTTGATATCAAAACTATTCTTAAGACTATTAATAACAATAAACTAAAATTAGTAATTACCTATTACTCAGTGGCTAGTCTTTGGCGCCTTGCGAACAGTGGTGTGCAGATGGTATGGGCTCTTGAGGCGGCGGCCTAAGCAACAATTGCAAATAGAGGCGTCGGCTTTCTTAATTACTTTAACCTAGCAAAATCGATAAGTTTATATAGTACTTTCAAAATCCTCTGTACAATGGTGCAATAGACCAAATCAACGACACCCAACCGAAATGCAATAAAGTCAAAACTACACAAATTAAGTATCAAATCCCTTGTAATCTCAACATAAAGAATTTCATAAAAACACGATTCACAAAAGAGCGCATTCTTCAAGAGTCTCAGTATATATAACGTTGATTCTAATGCATTTTCTAATTTTAATGAATATAGTGTAGTGCCATTCATGATATAGGTAGATATTCAATATCTAAGTAATGGTAGCCTCAATCAATGTATCTCATTATGAGTACTTCAAATTTCGTATCTCATTTTTTCACTTTGTAATTACACCTTCAATTTTATAAAGAAAAATAAAAATGTAGTTGGGCTTGACCAATTTTAGAAATGACTGAATGTTCAGTGACTGGAAAAGATTTCAGAACGTTGGTTCACCAGAGAACCATGCGGCACATTCAGTCTTTCTGAATATGCTCATCTTATATAGCAATATGCCAATATGTCAGATAAGATTCAATCTTTCTCACATCTTTTTAGCAGTAACTCTGATATACTAACACAACTTTTCAATTTTCTTTTATGAGGAAGGAAGAATACCGGGAAGTGTGAGGCTTGGATTACCAGACGAGATATTTCACACGAACAAAATAGGCTCCAGTTTTACTTCTTTCTGCGTGTTCAACTGCTTTTCACAGTGTGAGGTTGGTATTTTTCTGTGGATCCTGGCTCGACTGCAAGGCATTGACCATCTTTCCACGGTTTAAATGATCCTGCTTGCGACACGTTCTGACAACAAGTACAAATCCAATTAAAATATATAGCAGAATAAAAAATGACAAAATAAAAATTGCATTAGTATGACAAAACATACTTGGATCCAGAAGAAAAATCCGCGAAGGATGTTCAAGCATTTCCCCCGCTTGTACCGGGATCTTTTGACTTTTCTCTCAAGATCTGCACTTTAGAAAAGGAGATTGATGAAACAATCATGCTTAGCAACAGTTATGAAGAAAGCACAGGGACTATAAAACTGAGGCCACTTGAAAAAAATAGTAAGTTAACGCAAACTTAATGAAGCAGATGACCACACAAGCAGTAGCAGAGCTACGAAAATGTCAATGAAAAAATATGGAATATATTTTATCCTTCACAANAAAAAAAAAAAAAAAAAAAAAAAATCATGAAAATGTATCATTGAAGGGAGATAGATAACATATACTGAACTCTTCAACTAACCTGGATAATAAAAATAATATGACCCATCTATGACTGCTTTCCGAAGCATCTTCAATTCCTCTTTATCAAAAGGTTTTCTCAGAGCATCTACGACTTTTTTCCGGAACCCAGTTGTGTGACCGAAGCTCGTATCCTCCTCCATCTTTATATTTAATGACATGACAAAATTTGTCAGAACACACATAAAAGTGATTGATAATTCGTTTTAAGAAACACACAAAAGAAAAGAACACCTACGCTTTTATGAAACCTCATTGAAGGTTCAAAGGAGCTCAAATTCTTACGAACCCAAGCATCATCGAGAACTTCTAAATCAGTATTGGTTTCACTTTCATCATCTTCAAAATGACTCCCATCACAATTAGTCTTAGTAATGTTGGCATACATTTGTTTCCTACTCGATCTAGCTTTCACATTGTCATCCTCAATCTTCGGACATAAGAAAAGCCCACAGTCCCCTTGACCCAATTTTCCTACTCGGCCCTCTTTATCCTTTCTGCCCATTTTCACTCCACGGGCACGTTCTTGATCCAAATCCTCACTCTTCACCTGAATCAATTCCTTTTTGTCCTCAGTATCTTCTCTAACCACATTCTTACCCTTGAGTGATTTCATAACCCGTTGAGCTCCAAGCCCGCCACTTGTTCGGTTGGGTTCTTGATATAAAGACACGCTATTATCTGCCTCATTCCCAATAAAGTGCCGATTTTTCCTAACACGATCAATTTCAGTTTTCTCAACGCGGGTTTTTGTCTTCATACGAATTTTATCGGGTTTGGATTTCGAGCCGCTTGCACTTTCGCATTTTATGCGAAGAGGAACTGTGTTGGTATTGTGTGATTCGGCCCGGCCCAGAATATAGCGCAGCATATGCTCGTAATCCGGGTCCTTGCCCTTCTCCTCCATAATTCTTGCGGTCTGAGCCCACAGCTTTGACCTTTTCACATCATCCAACATGTCATAGCTTTCACAGTACTCATCCATGAAACTACTACTGTAAGAAAAAGCCACAATCCCTGCAGCTCACAATTGTACGATATAGTGAAGGTAAACAAGATAAATAGTGGAAAATCTATCAAATAATAGCATATTATCAATAAATGTGCAGGATATTTGAAGAAATTTATTATAACTCTGTGCATAAATTGCGCATCTTGTTATAAGGTACAAAAAAGAACTGTGGAGACAGTGACAGTGAAAACAAATAACAGAAAATGAAACATCTCTGTAAAATCCTAACCTTTTTCTTCCCGAAGATTGTCCTTGATGGTGAACTGCGACGGAGATCGAGCAGGATGAATAGATAGGAAACAACGTCGTTGCCAAGAGTAAAGAAAGTAAAGAAAGCTAGAAAGTGGCGTGGCCAGTGTTGAAGAAAGTACAGAAAGCTAGAATGATAGGAACGACGTCGTTGCCTGAAAAGTACATTAAACTTTACCGTGAGTCGTNCTAATTGAAATCAGTGAGCTCGGCTCAAACAATTTAGTTGAGTATACATAAAACGATGAATTTTTACATAATTTTTTATAATTCAACTTGTTAATCTTTGAGTTCAATTGAATTCTTTTAACTTCTGGTAAGCTCGGGTTTGTTTACGTAGATTAGTTAAAAAGTTGAGTTTTTTTTAGTTAAAATAGTTGAGTTCACTTCAACACAATGAAAACAATATTTAGGAGAGTTAAATTAAGTTAAGTTTGAATTAAAATTTGAGTTAAAAAATAATGGGTAATAGGATAACTTGTATATAACCACTTCTTGGAGGTCGGCTAATTTCTAGACAAATATTTTTTTTCGTAAGAAAAAGCTTCTCTGAGTCTGAAATTCAGTGCCAAAAAGAAACCAACAAAAATTTCTGCAGAAAATCAGTAAAACGATGAAGATGACATGGAAGAAGAATACGAGCGACAGTAAAAGCAAGACGAGGAAACGACCCATCTTATTGAATCCCAATCTCCCGTTTGAAGACATTAATTCCAGTTCTGATGCAGATACTACGCCGGAGCCACTTGCGAACGACGTGGTTCAAGAGAAAATCTCGCTTCCCGATGAAGAAGACGGCAAAAGGAAGAATCTTGCTCAAGACTTCGAAGCTCAAGGGAATAAACTTGCTGAGGTGCTTTGATTTTCTTTTTGATTTCCCTTTTGGAATATGGGGTTTGGGGTTTTCAATTATTTTTTTGAGCTTTTCCACTAAAGGGACTTTGGTTTCATATATGTTGATTCGTTTAGATATTGGTTTGTCAAATTGAGTTGTATGGCATGTTGAATGAAGAAAAATCTAATCTTTGAGGTTTAATTTCTGTTTGACATGCTTTACTTTATTTAGTTCTTGGTTGCAGTTGATACTTCACATAGTTTTTTTATAATATTGTTAGATATTGGTTTGTCCTTGCAATATGTTTATGTTTCTCTCACATAGCTGCCTTTTCATCACAACAATTGGTTGGTTACTTGGTTAAATCACTGTGTACATCGTAAATGTTCATAATTTATTTTATGCAGGAAGGAAAATATCGGGAAGCACTCGGCAAGTGGGAGACTGCAATTACTTTGATGCCTGAACGTGCTGTTCTGCACGAACAAAAAGCTCAGGTTTTGCTCGAGCTTGGTGATGCATGGAGTGCTTTGAAGGCTGCAACTAGTACATCATTCTTTTGTTTCCCTTTTTTCT